GGAGACAGGGCTGGGCTGGGCTGTGCCACTGGTCGCCGTGGCCGTTGGTTATGGGCTGCTGCTGCGGCGGCTGCGGCGGACGCGATTGGCACGGCGGGGCCGCACGCTGCGGTTGGTGGCTGCCGTGGTGGTCGCCTTTGCCGTCACCTGGGGACCCTACCATGTCGGGAGCTTGTTGGAAGTGGTGGTGGAGCTGCAGAGGTGCAGTGAGACTCTAAGAAAGGTTGCCAAGGCCATCCGGCCACCAGCCACTGCGCTGGCATTCCTCAGCAGTGCCCTAAATCCGCTGCTCTATGCCTGCGCCGGACGGGGACTGTGTCGCACTGCTGGGGCTGCACTCCTGCCTCGGCTCCTAGAGGGCTCCACAGCCTCCAGCAGTGCCCGTAGGACTGTCACCCATCGGGCCAGAAGCTCGCGGGGACAGCGGGAGAATGGAGGCAAGGAGGTGGCCAGGGAGGATGTGGGGATGGGGGATGGGAGGACAGTGGCAGAGGGAACCGTGACAGGTGATGAGGGGACGGTGCTGGAAAGCACTGAGATGGGGGACAGTGGGAGGGTGTGATGGACGGAAAGGCTTTTGGATGGATGTTGTCATTATATTGTGGGGTGGCATGGGGAGGGGTCCCTGGAGTCCTCTAGGGTTGCATTGGGGATTCCCAGGGGTAACTGTGGGAGCTTTAGGGGAGGGTGGCCTTTAGGGGTTATTGGGAGAACTCAGGGGATATCGGGGAGTCTCAACATGTGGATCTCAGTGAGGACATTCAGGGAGGAACTGGGAGAGCTGAAGGATGTTTGGGGGCCCGGGGGTATCCTGAAGCATGCCTAGGATGTCACCACCACACACAGAGGTGTCCCCATGGCATATGACAGGTGTCCAGGGGACCATAGGGTGTCACCATTGTGTCACTGGGATGTCACAGCAGGGTCCCAGGAAATTCATCTGGAATGCCGTTGGAGTGTCCTCAGGGGTCTCTATGGAGTGTCATCATGGAGTCAAAGCTGTGTCATAGCTGATGGTGTCACTGCCTGATGGGGCCACATGTCCCTTTCCCTTGGCCACCTCATCCTTTGGTGACATCACTGGTGACTTCATACCCTCCCAATGGGCTCAGCCCTGCCTCCCAGAGTCAGTGATGGCAACACCTGTGCCTGTTTGTGTTTTTACAGGAAGAAAAAATAAAGTACATAACTTCACAGTTTTGCCTCATTCTTCCCCATTTTGCTGAGGGCCAACAAGGCAACCTCACCCAGAGCCACAGGATAGGGGACACAGGGGACAGCAGATGGATGTGGGGGCTGGGAAGAGAGACAGGGACAGAATGGGGGCGTGGGATGGGAAGGACAGGGCGCAGAAAAGGGACATTTTGGGATGTGAAAGGACATGGGCTGAAGAAGGGGTGCAGGGACAGGACTGGGGCTGTGAGGGGGGACATACAGTGGGTATAGGAGAAGGGATGAGGCGGGAGCACTGGGATGAGGAAGAGACACTGGGTCAAGGCTGGATACACAGTACAGGGTTAGGGGAAGAGAAGAGGGACACTTTGTCATAAGGCAATGAATTCCCCTAAACCATGGGGTCTGGGCTTGAGAACTGGGACGCCGCTTGGCTGTCTCTCCATGCTCTTCTGTGGTCTGCTCTGTCCCCTGCTGGTGCGGCACTGCTTTGTCACCACCATCGGTGCAGCTGGCTTGGAAATGGAGCAGGGAGTGAGGGTCTCAGTGCAGGGTGGGCATCAGATGAGGAGTGCCCGGGAATCCCTTCCAGACCCAGCGTGTTTCCTGCAAGAGGATACCACTGTGAGCCATGATGGATATTTTGGGGAGCTCAGACCCACAGCCAGAGCCCTCACCTATGCCTCCACCACCAAACTGCCCCGACGATGATGGCAGTGAGGAAAAGGATGGTGATGGTGATGACGATGGTGGAAGATGCACTGGGGTTTTCTTGAATGGGGAGAGAGCAGAGGATAGCCGTGAGCATGTGGCAGCTCCAGGCCACCCAAATCCCATCCCCATTCCCTACCCCAGAGGACGAGGAGGCTGCGGTCACCCAGGCTGCAGTGCTGCACGCGGCAGGCGTAGCTGTGCCCGTCCCGGGGGGACACCAGCAGGGTGCTGCGGAGCTGGTAGGTGAGGTCGGCGTTGGGTAACACAGCGCCGGTGCTCAGCGCCGGGCTCGGGGGCACCTCTCTGCCGTCCCGCAGCCAGGTGACGGTGATGGGCCGCGGGTAGAAGCTGGTGACACGGCAAACCAGCAGGAGCTGCCCTGGGCCGGCCGTGCGGGCAAAGACCACAGCGATGGGTGGCACTGGGGACAGCAGCAATGGGAGTTCAGTGTGAGCACAACTCAATCTGGGAGCAACAGGGTGGCTATCTGAGGGCCAAGGATCGCTCACCTTGTCTATCCAGATCTGTCCTCCCTTCCTTGTGCAGCATGAGGATGTAGTCTGGCAAGGAGGTGGAGAAGATGTGCTCCAGAAGCTCCGACACGGCGCGGAGGTCAGTGAGAGTGTTGCTCATCAGCTCAGCCAGCAGGGTGGACCTCCGGGGAACCCAGCGCTCCCCACTCAGGTCGTATGTCACCAGGTCTCTGCCACCTTCCCCAATGTTGACAAAGCTCCATCTTGTTCCGTTGGTGTAAAGCTTGCAGCCTGTGTGGATCTGGAAAACCAGTGGGTCTGCAAGGGGCAGAAGGGTATGTGAGCATGGGGACATGAAGATGGCTGGGGAGGTGTGGGCATGATGGGCACCGTGACCACATGAGCTGCCAAAGGAGAAGAGCCGAGCAGTGCAGGGTGGCAGCTCAAGCACTTTGTCCCGCAGAATGTCCCCCTGCAATATTTTCCTTCGTGTTTCCCCTTCCTTGATTCGTGCCAGGTGATTCCCATGGCCCTGTTAATTGTGGGAGCAGATCCTACATGTCCTCCATATCAGGGGAGCAGGATCAGGGGGCAGAAACCTCACAACGCATTTCAGTGCTCCACTGAAATCTCAGGAGACAGAGTGTTTCCCATCACCCTTTGGAGGCTGTCAGCCCCTGCCAAAAGACCCCACAACCCATCACATTTTGGAGGCTGTCAGACCCCTAGAAGATCCCACAAACTCTGTTGCTTGGTCTGCAGCTGTCCCTCCTACTCACAGTCCAACCCTGCCTTTGTAGCCATCTCATGCATGAACCGAATCGTATTGCGTATGCCGACCATGGAGAAGGACAGAATCTTCTTCACTTCACTCTTAGCCGTGGCCTCGTGGACCCATGGCCGGCAGATGTTTAAGTTCCAGGTGTGCGGATCCAGCACCACTATGGGCACATCTGCCAGCAGAGCCGTCCCAGTCAGTTCTGTGGAGCTGATGTTATCCAAGAGCAATGTGTAGAAGAGCTGGAAAAACTGTAATTCTTCAGGGGGAGGGCATGAGGCTGCAAGAAAGAGGGGAGTGAATGGTGGATGTACCCCATTGCCCAGGTGACCATCTCTGCTGTAGAAGGACATGCAGGGTGTCATGGCAAGAAGCTCATCCACATGATCCCCAGTCTAGAGGCAAGTGGGCATGGACAGGGGCCCCTTTGGGTGCTGTGAGGCTGGGGGCAGCCCCTCGGTGCTGGAGACTATTCCCATCACACAGGAAAAGGTCTCTTAGCCATGCCTCCCCACACACTGCTATAGGGTCCCATGATGATGGCTGGGTTGAGCAGGGGCTCCCACTTACTTTCTGCTTCTGCCCATGTCTCGTGGAGGAGAAGGAAGAGGAAGAGGCAGTGAGGCCACATCGTGCCTGCAGCGAAGGCAGTGCAGCGGGGATGGTGGGAAGAGGAAGTGCAGTGGGGTCCCAAAGGCTGCGCTCCACCAATGGGGCTGGCCAGTGAGGTTTCGGGGAGGGTCTAAGACGGGGGCTGAAGAAGCATATGAGGGAATGAGGCTGAACTTGTTTTCATTTGGATCACCGCGCAGCAACTGCACCCCTGTACTGGTGGCAGAGAGTGAGGACATTTGTGCCAATATTGGGGTGCTGCAGCATGTGATGGGTGCTGGGCAAAGGGTCATGGGGTGACCAGGAGCCCCCATCTCCCCCTAGCCAGCCACCCCCAGGCACAAACAGACATATTTCTCTTCCCCTTTCCTATGGGCCCCATGCTGGGGCCAAAGCAGAACTGAAACTCAGTCGAGGGGAAGTGCAGAGCCGGGGTGGATGGTTCCAGTGCTGTCCCTCCTGACTGCAATTGGTGTCCCTGAAGGGCTGTGGGGCTTCTGCCCACTCAGACCCCGGTGACACTGCGGTGACCCCAGAATGTGGAGTTTTGACTTCCCAGGTGAGGGCTGAGCCCCAGAGGCCCTCAGGTGCTCCCATGGTGCGTGTACCCTCTGGGCACCACTTCTCCTCACTCCCTCTTGGCTTTCCCTCGAGCCCCTTCCCTCTGCATGCCCCTTCCCAGCCCCGTTCTGCCCAGAGGTGCGCAGAGGCACTGCTGGGATCCACTGCTTTCAGAGCCGGAATTGTTCAGGAGCGCGGATGGGTTCCTCCCAGGGCTGAGATTGGGGTGCTGCCCCCATCATCTGGGAGCACCTCGCCCCACAGCACGGTTATGCCCACAGAGGAAGTACTTGTGGGCTGGGATTTCTGCACAACCTATGGGTCTAATTATTCATTTATTCCACGCTCCGTTTGCCTCAAACCTGCCTGTTTTCACCCAAATCCCACTCACACCCACATCTCCATGGTGAGCAAGGCAGTGTTTGAGCATCGCTTTCCTCTCGGAGCACAGTAGAGCTCAGTGCTGCTCAGCACTTCCAGCGCCGCTGGTGGGCGTCGCTGGAGGGGGAATTGGGCACAAATATCTCCGGAATAGGGTTAATAAAGGCGGTGGGTGGGCAATAAAATGCAGAAGGTGCCAATGGGAGGGCGCAGCTCGCTGCTCGTGGGCAGGTGGGTACCTTTATCAGGGCTGGGGGAGCTGCCGCGAGCACTGGGGCGCCTTCACGAGGTGCAGCGCTGAGAAGCACTCAACTGTGCCCCCTCCCCTCACCGGGCGTTCCGCGGCCGCAGCCCCCGTAGTGCCCCGCGGCTGTCCCATCCTGCGCTGCGCTCCGGTGCTCCTCCAGAGGGATGCTGCGCTCCTCGTCCAAGCGCTGCCGCTTCCTGCAACGGGAATGGGCGCTGCGGGGCGGGGCGGGGGTCTCTCGGAGGAGCAGCGGGGCAGGAGGTGCTCTCACCTGTATCTCCACACCAACACTGCGGCGACGGCGGCCGCAGCCAGCAGCAGGACCGCCCCGAGCCCAGCGCTCAGCCCCCGCTTGGAGTGCTCTGAGGAACACAGCCCGTCAGCTCTCTTGCTCCTCGTGCCGAGGGAACAGGGCTCGGGAGCCGCATCCCCGAGGGGGGCAACCTACCCCAGGGGACGAGGAGGCTGCGGTCACCCAGGCTGCAGTGCTGCACGCGGCAGGCGTAGCTGTGCCCGTCCCGGGGGGACACCAGCAGGGTGCTGCGGAGCTGGTAGGTGAGGTCGGCGTTGGGTAACACAGCGCCGGTGCTCAGCGCCGGGCTCGGGGGCACCTCTCTGCCGTCCCGCAGCCAGGTGACGGTGATGGGCCGCGGGTAGAAGCTGGTGACACGGCAAACCAGCAGGAGCTGCCCTGGGCCGGCCGTGCGGGCAAAGACCACAGCGATGGGTGGCACTGGGGGATGGAAACGAGGGGATTGCAGTGCGGCACGGCTCAGCCCCCACGTCTGGGGCGGATGTGGCAGCACCAGGATCAGCTCACCTTGTCTCTCCAGATCTGCTTTCCCGGCCTGGATGAAAATTCTCAGAATGGCCACACAGGTGTTGTTGAGGAGCACTTGGATCACCTCATTGAGAGTGCTGGCGTTCATCATCAGGTGCTCAGCTATGGCTGCCAACTGGTTATGTTGCATCTGATCCCAAGTGCCTTTGTCCAGGCAGAAACGGAGGAAATTCTGGCCCTCGTAAGCAATGTCTAAGAAGGTCCTGATGGTCCCGTTGGACTGGAGCTCACAGCCTATGGAGGACTGGAAGACAAAAGGGTCTGGGGGCAAGGGATATTGTGGTAGAGTTGGTATGTGGGATACTCAGCTCTGTGGCCACTTTGGGTCTCACTGAGTGTTGCCCCATGCCCAAAAACTCTGGTTCTCGTATCCAGTGTCAAAAAAAGGTCCTGGTGGTCCAAAGCTCAGTCAAGTGAATGTTTGTGTCCTGCAGCCACAGGCAGGACAAGGACATATTGTCCCAGCACTGTCACCTCCCGAGAACACCATTCTCTCGGTGCCCTGGGGAAAATGTATGAGTCCCCAAGGGGCTGCTGGGCTCTGGGGAATGGATCCAGTGCTGCACCAATGTCTCTTTGCACCCCATCCCCCTCCAAGCACAACCTATTCCTTCTGGGATGTTCCCTGCCATGGTGGTGACACGGGGACAGCCCATGCAGGGATGCCTAGCACCCAGTGACACTGAGTCAGACCCCGGGGAATGAGCACTGCACATCACTTCCCTTCTCTGGAACCACTCTACAGAGAAGTGGTGACGCTGAAGTGTCCCCAAGGGCCCAAATCTGGCACCTGTGGTCTGATTTCCTGCACAGCCCATCGAGGAGATGTCCAGCCCTGGAACTGTGATGTCTCTGTCCCTCCTGTCAGGGCTAGTGTCTGGAAGGACAGTAGAGAGCAGCCGGTGGGCTGGCAAGGATTGGCTGTAGTGTGGCTGCTGAGAGTACCCACTGTTCCCTCAGGTGACTGTAGGTCCCCAGTCTGCCCAGCAGATATGCATTGTTTATCATAGCCTGCCACAGTGTGATCACTGTTCCTTACTATACTGAAGCTTGATCTGTCCCAGAGGGGACTTCGGAAATGGGGTGGGGAAGGGACACGTACAGGGCACTGTGGTGTACATCTGCACCAGCTTGCTGAAATCTCTCACGTATGACTTGATGGAGCTCTCGATGACATCCCAGTCACCTTTCGGCAAGGATGGGCGCAGCCAGGGCCGGTAGTAGTGGATGTTCCCAGTGCGGCTGTCCAGAGACCCCATTTCCACGTCCCCCAAGAGTCCCAGTCCTCCCACAAGCACGGAGGTGCTGTTTTGGAAGGTGGCGAAATGGAGAAGCTTGAGCATGTGGGAGCCTGCAGGAGATGGGAAGAGAGCTGGGGGAAGTGTCCCCAGTTTTGTCATTGCTGATGGCTCCTTGGGGCCCCCCATAGCTCACCATCACCTCAGCTTCATTTACCCCCCAGCTTGACCACAGCCCCATAAGGGAGGATTTGTGAGATGAGAAGAAAGGGTTAGGGTAAGCCATGGTTAAAACTTACCCTCTGGCTTTGCCCAGGTCCCAGGGAAGAAGAACAGAAGGAGGATGGCATGGGGCTGCATGGTGTCTGCAGTGCAGCTCCTCACAGATGCAGCAGGATGATGAAGGGACTGCTCACTTCTCAAGGCAGCTCTCGCCTTGCTGGTGGCACTGGGTGGCCACAGCAGCCAATAGGTTCTGTGCTGAGGTTTTGGGGAGGTCCCTGAGGTGCCCTCTGCAGGGAGCTGGGCTGAGGTATTCAGGCTATGGGTCTGGAAGGATTCTTTCTGGCCCATGGCTGAACCGAAAAAACCTCAAGGGTTACCACATAGGGATGGCACAAGTGGTCTCCTCCTCTTGTAAGTCTGTCCCAGGAGCAATCCTGCCTGAGGTGACTTTGAGGTCAGTCTCCAGTGGGAGACCTCCAAAGACCAAGAGTCACTTGAAAGGAGCATGGGACCAGGAGACGCATCAGAATGGACTGCAGGGACAAGGAACACGAGGAGGCACACTGAGACCAGCCCACCAGCAGCACTCCACTGTCCTTCAGACACTAATGGCCCTGCTGAGAGAGACAGGGACATCACAATTTCAGATCTTAACATTACCTTTGTAATAATAACGTCATCAGACTTAGATGGTTAAGTTAGTCTAGTTTGATTTTTGCAAAACGCTGTTAATCGCCTTGCATATTCCCCATTACTATAAACAGAACCACCACATACATTTTTACAATTCAAAAACAATTCAAGCTTTACTTTTTGGCGTTTTTAAATTTTTTTTTTAATGCAAGAAAGGCATTTACTAAAAAAATAAACCCGAAACATTAAAAATATTAACAAGACAGTGTCTGAGAGAACATTAAGGTGGCCCTGTGCTCGCTGCTAACCTACCCTATCATTAGATGTGCCACATAGTGAGATTTTACTGCATCAACTAAAAAAAAAAAAAAAAAAAAAAAAAGCATGACAATATAAATTCGATCATTTCTTACAGATATTCATAAGCAGTTAACACAGGTTTCTTGAGTTTGGAGAATTGTTCCTTCTTTTTCTTTTTTTCTTCTTCTTTTTCTTCTTTTCTTCTTCTTCTTCTTTTTCTTACTCATTTGTTCTTCATTTCTACCCAATCCCCCCGTTTAACTTTGTGTTCGTCACTTGAAACCAGAATGGAGAAGCCCTTTCCGCGGTCTCTACTGCCACCGCGTGGCCAAAGTGAGGAACTGCACCGCGCTGTGACGAGGGGCGGAAGCGTTGTTGGCGGCTTTAGGGAGCTGAGAGGGATCAGAGGAGCTCCTGTAGCGCAATGTGCGCGCTGGCCACCTCAGACTCTCCTCCTTCCCCCGCTGATCTGTAGTGATCGGTGGTGCCCCGCGGAGCACCAGATTTTAGGTAACCAAATACTGAAGTATTTACATGATGGCCTTTAAACGTAAAACAAGTGAAATATCGATAAAAGAGCATGCGTAGTGTAGCGCCAAAGCTGCCACATGCGAACTAGTCTATCGAAACTGGCGCATGCGCACTGTTGTGCCAAAACCGGCGCATGCGTGTTGTAAAGCCGAAACTGGTGCATGCGCGCCCTCTTCAGCCAAAACAGCCGCATGCGCACAGCTGTACTAAAACCAGCGCATGCGCAATGTAATTCTAAAACTGGCGCATGCGTGTTGTAGCGCTAAAACTGGCGCATGCGTAATGCTGTGCTACAACTCACGCATGCGCACTGAAGGGCCAAGACTTGCGCATGCGTGCTGTAGAGCCGAAACTGGCGCATGCGCACAGCTTAGCTAAAACTAGCGCATGCGTGTTGTAGAGCTAAAACTGACGCATGCGTACTTCTCCGCTAAAAAATGGCGCATGCGCACAGCTGTGCTAAAACTGGCGCATGCGTGTTGTAGAGCTAAAACTGGCGCATGCGTACTGCT